TCATATATACAAAGCCCGAAGGCATTCAATCATTCATCACAACAAGGAGTAAATATAGTTATTACAATGTTAGGCCGAGGCTATTACAAAATTGTTCAAATTACAGAGTACATATCAAATAATGTCATTCCCGGGGGTCGCCTCCCCCGATGGCTTCGAGGTAACTTCTACATCAGCCTCAGGATCGTCGCCCTCGGCTTCCCTTCGGAGCTCGGAATCCTCCAGGTCTGGCCTCTCGACATCAGGGGGGAGAGGAACACGGATATCTGGCTGCAGGGGGAGCCCGTACGCTGCCGGATCAAAGTCCTTCGGCTCAACCTTCAGATGGCGGGCCATCCTCCGGTAGATGAGGGCTTGAGTGAAGAACTCGCCCCCATCATAATACTGCTTACCCTTCCGGGCCATCCACTCCTCCCCCGGGCCCTCGGACCATTCATCAACCGAGGCCTCAACAACCGAAGACAGCCATGCCTTGTGCCCCTCGGTCTTCCACCCCCCGTCCAGGAACCCGGAGATGGCCTCCTCCCGGGCTGTGGCGACAGCCTTCGCCTTGATGGCCTCGGCCTCCTCGGCTGCTCTCCTTGCGGCCTCCGCAGCGGCCGCCTCAGCTTCTGCCTTCTCCTCCCGGAGCCTCCCGGCCTCCGCCCTCGCAAGCCGGAGGTCCTCCTCAAGCTGGGCCATCAGCTTCGTGGCCTGGGAGTCCCTAAGGATCAGCTCCTTCCAACGGCTATATTTCCAACGGCTATATTCTGGAAGCCCCGGGTTTTCTACTTCGCCACCCCCCCCCCCCCAACGGCTATAGCCTGTCGTTACATATTCCAACGGCTATATTTCCAACGGCTATATTCTGGAAGCCCCCGGGTTTTCTACTTCACTCCACTTCATCAAGGATAGCCTCCGGATACACTCACTCAGAAGTGCCCCCGGGTTGTGCCCCACACAGCACTTAACGGACGCCTTCGGGATCACTCCCTCAGAAACCCAGGGCTTCATATCAGGGCACCCCTCGGGGATTCCCCCTCAGCGCTGCAAAACCGGGTAGCCCCCAGGGAGTTACCTCATTGACGGATAACCCGTGGCACACAGGTAATGGGAGCCCTCGGGTATCTTCATCACCAACTAATCAACAAACAGTGGACCCCCCGGCGACAGTTAAATTACTGCCCTCATCCAGCAGGCCCTCGATCCCCGGATTGAGGGGCTCCCCTTCGACACCCCCAGGATATCAACAGCAAGCCTTCGGCTGATCAATACATGAGCCCTCAGGAAAAGAAGAGCCTTCGGCATTACCGTATTCTCCATTTTTGACCAAGGTTTGACATTTTCGATTCATCATTGGGGGAATTCGGTGCACTCTTTTTCCCTCATTTAGGATTTTTTCCCCCAGGGTTTTTCCTAATGAGGTTTTTAACGAGGCATCCCCCCAAAATGAAACGAAAAGCGTCACCCTTCGGCCCACAACAGCAACGCAACTACTCTACTCCTTTTCACCACTTTACAAGTGCCTCAAGGAGTGGGGGACCGGAGGACCCCCTCGGGAAAATCATTAAATTACAAAAGATGTAGAAATTCCAACAAACAACAGAGCAAGCCCTCAAGTCCCGACATGTGGGTAACTGAGGGACTGCCTTCGGCAGGGACATAAAAGCAACAACTCCTCACCAACTTCAGAGATCACGACGGGACAACATCAAGGGGCAAGCACAAATTACTCATTTTCCCTCAAGTACCTTTCGGAAAAAGGAGTGAGGGACTCCTGATGGAGTATATGGCCCGGGAACCCCCGGCCCACAGACTCCTACTACTCCAGCAAAGGCCCAAAAGGCCCAACAGGCCCAAATCACAGCGCCCAGAGTACCAAGCAGTCCGCACTACGCGCCAGGGGTGCCTTCGGCCCCCTGTCCGAAGGCTCCAAATTCTCACAGAACGGGTTTCTCAAGCAAATTATGAAACGGGGAGAAAACGGCGAAAACAGTAGCCCTCGGCATTGTGAGCCCTCGGCACCAGGGTGCCATCGGGTGGAAGAGCCCTCGGCTACTGCTCTATAGCCGAAGGCATCTCACTCGACAAGATATCCGCCTCACATGCGCACAGATCACCGTACCCCGCATAGACGCCCCATCCAACAGCCGCATTAAATGCGGCCACATGCGGCTGCCAGCGCCAACTAGTTGAGGTGACCCTTCGGCCAATGAGCGCTTGACACGTGTCCCTGTCCGGCATTTATTGCTACTATAAATAGCACCCCATTTCCTCATTTGTAACCACGCTGAAAACGGCATTCATACTGAATACACTCTCTCTCTACTTTTACTTACTTGCTCTGACTTCTCTCTAAGTTATTCCCCGTAATAACCCTTCGGATATATACCCCCGGGTGGACTATCCATCACAATGTATTCAACTAATTAATTTTTCGGTCAATATTCAAAAGCCCAATGAATTAAACTAATTAATTTTTAGGACAATATTCAAAAAGCTCAATCAATTGAACTAATTGGTTTTTCAGACTAATAAAGTCCAATTAGTTGGACTACTTAATTTTTGCATCCTAGTATTCAAAAGTTAAAATTCAGACTTGATTTGTGTAAGATAGCATTTTTCTGGACTTGGATGGAAAATACAAAAAAAATGCTGCTCCAGCTAGGAATCGAACACATAACCTCTACACTACTAATCACACCTCTACCATCACACCAACGTAACTTTTGCTTACAATAGGACGTTTGTTCTAATTATACCATTTCTTCCCAGTACATATATAATATATATACTAGTAATTTCTTTTTTTTTGAGGTGGGGCCTAGGCCCTCCCTGGCCCTATGCCAGATTCGCCCCTGAGTGTAACCATATCTTAATTCAGGAATAATCCAACATTTGCACATCATCTTCATTTTTTGGCTTTTCTAGGTTTTTTCAATTTCTTTTCAAATCATTAAATCATAAATCTCACCTTCTACAAATCTTCTCCAAACGGTCCCACATATGATTTTAATTAAAAATCATACAATGAGGATTAATAAATTAAAAATTGTGTGATTGAGATTTGTGCAGAGGAGGGAAAGTTAAGTGGAACCAAAAATTCTTCATTTAAAGCGGAAAGTAATAAAGTTAGTGGGACATCCAAAGAAGAAAAACTATCAAAGTTTTAAGAGAAATAGGAGTATATAATTGAAACAATGGCATAAATATTACTTCCTCACTTTTATTGGATAAATATATGACCAAAATCTCATTAGACAAAAAAGTGACTGAAATCCCTAATCCTAATAATTCGTCCGTCTGCGTCTCTGGCATCTTTCCGCTCAAATCCAGAAGTCCAGACTTTCTCCAAAAGCCATCTGTCTGCTTGCTCCCTTCCGACCATGGTCGGCGTCGCTACAGGTTCCATTCTATTTCTTCTCATCTCTCGCTGCCCGACTGTGATACCTCGCCACCGCCATATCTCGTCTTCTCCTCCACAGCTTTGACTGAAATCGAGCAGGGCCGAAGATCTGTCCTCGACGGCCATCGCCGTTGTTGGTTCGGTGATCCTGGAGCGTGACCTTTCCTGGATACTCTGTTGGATATACCATCAGTGATAGATCTAGAGTTACGCACCGCGGCGGCTAGGGTTACATGATGTGGCGGTCGGTTATGGAGGCTAGGGGTGAGGAGCGGTGGGCTGACGGTTAGGATTACGTGTTCAGTGGTGGGCTGGTCGTGACAGAGCAAAGGCAATCCTCGGTAAAGTGCCCCTAGTGCTAGATACGCCGTCCTAGATGCACTCCGAATTGAGGCCGCCGTGGCTGGTGGGGTATGACATAGGTTCTCTGGAATGTGGTGGTGGTATGGGTAGGTTTTGGGCAAACTTCCTAGAGAAGACCCACTGCCGGTGGGGTAGCACTTTTACGGGGTGTGAGTGTGCTGGGGAGGGGGGATAGAGAGGGATGACGGCTGGCCACCTAACTTGGAGGCGGTGGTGAGGTTTCTGTGGCCGGAGATGTGAGACCGGTGGTTGATGGGGCTATGGTTGGTGGTGGTAGCCGGAGAGGTGCAAGGGCAAGATGTCAGCGATGGGGGGTTGGTCACTATTTGGGCGGGAAAGAGTCATTCCCGCCTTGCCGGTGGTGGCCCTGGTGGTGGTGAACTGTTTTGCTAGGAAAAGGTTGTTCGAAAAATTTCCGACAATTACAGTGATACGTTTCACGGCAATAGTAACATGTTTTAAGGCAAAAGTGACATTCAAAAGTGACATAAATATCTGATAGTGACATATAATAGTGACATAAAAACTGATAGTGACATAAAAAATACAATGACATCATGATTTTCCAAATATGTGATCTTCTTAGTCACATTTTTGTCCTTTTAAAAAATGGTCACTTTTTTGGAAATCAGCTATAATTTGGTAATATTCAAGGAAAAAGCCCTATATAATTTCCTATGAATCGGTAATTTATTGCTCCTTTATTACTTCATTTTAAAGGCCTCATTGTTTACTTTATATTTTATTTCAATAATTTCAAATTTCAAATTTTCATAGTATAATTGAGGGTGAGGTAAATGTTTTGGTGCAAAATGGAACACGTATATAAATATTTTAGTTGGACCCATATTTCTGGACTATTTGTTTTGGGACCATATTTTTGGCTTTTAATATAGTTGGAATTGGCAATTGCATAAATTATTTGACTTTAGTGGTTGGAACTCCCAGTTCCAACTAGAATTTAAAATCCCAAAAAACTCCCGTAATTTCATCCTTTCCTCTCCTCCTGCTCTCATAAAGGTCCAGTTCGATCTAATAGATTCTCTAACTCCCGATTTTAAAATCTCAGTCCTAGTTTATTCTTTTAGAGTCGAGCTTTGGAGTATTTGAATCCATTACTTTATTACGGTCTACTCCCCCGTCCCAGAATTTACTTCCATAGTACAAATGGCACACGTATTAAGAAAGTGAGAATTGTGTGGTGGAGAATTGTGTAGAGGAGAGAAAAATGTGTAAGAATATGTAAGAATTACTGTGAACCACAAATTCTTTGCCAAAAAGGGAAAAAGAAGTTCTTTTGGGGACAGACGAAATGGGAAAGTTGGAAGTAAATTATGGGACTGAGGGAGTACAATCCAATTTTCCGACACACATAAAAGGATAACTTGAGAGGAAAGTACTCAAAGTAGCCCATACTCTATATTTTTGACATCATAAATGGGAATGTTTTGAATATTACAACACACACTAGTTGACACGTGCAAGAGAGAAAATGTAATCTCTCAAACAAAATTTGTTATTTGGTTGCTTGTGGAAATGTTACATCAAATTCCATGCTAAGAATGCACCTTCAACACATTGGGCCATGGAGATGCTCAATAGTCTAATTTGCCCCTTCCATTTGTTCTTCCTCTGTAATATTCCTTGCTAAAAGTAGTTTCATTTTGTGCCAAACCACTATGAAGGCTTTGACTTCTTCCCAACTTTTGTGATCCTCCTAAAGTTTTGAGTTCCCCTTCTCATTTGGCTGCACGCAAAAAACATAACACTTTATGGGCAGGGCAAGGTTTGAGGAAGTGAAGATGATTGAATAGTATTTGAGGGTGGAAATAGCACCTTTGAGAAAGGTAAACGATTAGGTAGAATATAGGAAGAAGCATCAAAGTTAAAATTGAAGCTGCCAAATAGAATCTATTTGTATGTTTCTGCATCATATATAAAAACAGTATGTCAATCGCCCCGTATTTGATCAGTGGAAGATAAGGAATACTATTCTCTTTTATCGGTCCATATTTGTATGCTTATTTGTACACAAGAAACTTCATATATACTCATTATATCCCGAAAAAAAGAGTTATACTTCAAGAAAGCTAATCTGCATTTAATTTAATTTCTTTTTCGAGAAAAGTGATCCAAACAAGTCAAGTATACTTTAACCTATTCTACAACAAAATAAAATAAAAACCATTAGGATTGGTAAATGATAAGACTCAAGAGTGAATTGGTGTACCCAACCAAAAATCTAAAAAAAATGTTCATAGATGAAACATGACTTGTCTTTGGATGAGAGTATATTTTTTTGTCAAAAGTAAATTATTAGTAAATAACGGAATAAAGCCTATCTCGTTTAAGTAGTATTGTGGTTTCTTATTCTCATTAGGTTTAGGATTCTTATTCCAATGGGTTTCAGTTTCTTATTCTCTACAAAAAGAAGTAACAATCTTTAAAAGTTACAAGCACGTTCAAAGTCATACCAATAAAAATAGAACTTGTAGTTTATTATGTATATTAGCCAATTTTATTACTACGTTATCTAGTGCACTCCACCTTTTCCAATGCATCAAAGTTGGGGCTTTGCAACATGTTCAGGAGACTTTAATCTATATACATTAATTTATAATGTGTCCTAAGAAGATGTTGCCACCATTCACAGAAGGATTATATACATTCTTGATTTTGAAATTTTTCCAAAACATATTGCGATAATGTGATCTAACCTAAATATCCAAAACACTATTTGTTTTCCTCTTTTTTTTAAAACATAGCCATACATCTACAGAGAAGGTGATAGTTGATTAATTCTTACCCTGCCTCCTTTAGGAAAAGGGTTTTTCTTGCCCGAGCAAGAATGGGCATCACAAAACTGGCGCAGAAATAACTCTACAAAATGGAAAGAAAAAATAGCTACTAAAATACCAAAAAAAAAAGCTGTTTTTAATTGTTATAAATTGTACTCCGTAGTCTTTTTATAGGGTGTGTCACATACCATGGAGACGAGATGATTTTGGACCCTGGTGAACTGGAAAACAGCTGTTTGCAAGACCCTATATAGAAAGAACACAGGCATGCAGGCATTGTTAACAAAAATAAAAGTTAAAAATTAAAACTTTGTCAACGTGCATTTTGACAACCTCGCATAAATGATGATTCCTTGCAGCAGCTGCAGGGTTGCATTTGGTCTTCCGAGGTTTTGACTCTTCCATAAAGTCACAATGCAGTGCTCCACACAGATCTGCCAAGCACTTGCTATGACTCTGAAGCAGGAAGCATTAGGTTGAGACATTAAGGTAAAAAAAAGTACTACCAAAGGACTGTCAGAAAAGCATGATAAGTTTTACTAACACCAAAAATGGATATAGCTTGAGAAATACATTTTATTTGGTCTTTTTAATGAACTGGTTATGTTAAGATGATATAATTGGTGATTAGAACGATAGATACAGACAAAATGTGAAATGATTACTGAAGAAATCAGGTACAAATATATAAAGGGGGACGCATGAGAGAATAACATCAGAAAGAAGAATTGGCCTTAAGCACTGGCTGATAGAATACCAATATAAAACTTATGAGGTCTTGCATGTTTTTATGCTAAATATCATACATATTTAGTCATACAATTATTAGTAATTCTATTTGTGGAAACCTCTTATGTTTTACTCATAACAGATACAATGGACAACGATAACAAGAAAGTGATGTGGCCTTTTCATAGCTCTTAACTTCTGAAGAAGATGGACACTGATAATAAGAAAGTGATGTGACCTACACTTTCAGCATATCTTGAATTTTTCAGATCTGACAGACAGTGCAATATAAAATCTGTATCTCACAGATAATGATAATAATAATAATAGTTATTATTATTATTATTATTATAACCATAACGGTCCAAAAGAATTATGATAATTGTTTGTGAAAATAATAGAAATGACAGAAAAGGGAGGAACTCGAAACGTACAACATTTAGAAGATTAGAATGTCGATTGTCAAAATGCTGATCAAGAAACTTTTCAGCTCGGAAAACTTTTTTGCAATATCCACAGCGCCAATCATTTATATCCACATGAATCTTGTGTTCCTCCTGTTCTCTGAAAATGTCATTACTTGGATGAAGTCTACATGTTCTTAAGAGCTCATAGTTTTCTTGTTCCAGGAATGGTAGCAAATACTGCACGTCACGGCCATCACCCAATGACTCAAATCAAGTTCACCTTCTGGTTTAATAAAAAGAACCCATAAAAATCTCAGTTTTTTTGCACTGATGATCTGAATGTACCTCATCTATAACTTTCCATGCAGCTCGGCTTCTCTCCCTGGAGCAATGAACTTCATGAACACCAGATTGCTCTTGGTCAAGACTCCTAATCAAGCATCAAAGCACCGAGTTTTTTCTGGTATTAATATACACCGCATTTAGGTATTCATCCTGCAGCTGAAACTATTGTGCTAAAATGAAAACACAATACTGATTTTCATATAGAAAGCAGACCATTGCACACTTCTGTATGTTCTAATTCTTTTCTTAGTATTTCAATCTTGAATTTCACATTCGAAAGTCCAATGTGTGTCAGCAGCACTGTATTCAAATTAAATCAAGAAATAGAAACCACAAAATCTTACCGTGATGAAAATTGCTCTAAATCCTGCACCGAAAGGAAACAAAAGCTTGAGACCAACAAGAACTGGGGCACAAAGACTGCCCTTTAAAAAGGCAAAATCTTTTTTAATGATACTTGTGACTTCACCAGGAAAATAAATAAATATTAGAAATGTATACAACTGGAGCGTAAAATGGTGTATGCAGAACGAAACCCAAAGTCAAGAACTCAATTGAATAATTCCTCTTTAAGCCGTGATAATAATAATAATTAATGGGACCTAACCATTACTATCCCATCTAGTGACTTAATCAGGACTATTGAGTTGTTCCATTGATTTAAGAAAGCATTTCCAAATCGTCTTATACACGCATAAGATAAACCCGGATATATTTTAATTGAAAGTGAAATTGGGGGAATGAGATATGCCCATAATTACTCTCGAAGGAAATTCACATAGAGGGGTTTTCCGAATTATGTCAAAGAATTGAATTGAGAGAACCTGATCTATCTGAGCAAGGACTGGAGACGACCAGCATGCTAATAGTAGAGAAAGAAGAAGAAGAAGAAACCCATGAGAGAATAAATTCTCTTCTTTTCTCTGACTGGTTTGCATATCTCTCTTCTTGAAGACTCGCCCAACTTGTATGCCGCTCTCAGCTTCCCTCCTTGGTTTGATATGGTTTTAGATGCGTCCCAAAGGGATGAGTTGACGAAAAAAGGATAAGACCCCATAGTGAGGCCCACTCGACTACAGAGTTGGGAGGAGGTAATCGGAGTATAAGGGATACTACCTCTGTATTATTACTACCTCCGTCCCGTTATGATGGTCTCATTTTACCTTATCGGTCCGTCCCATTAAGATTGTCCCATACCGAATTTGGTAAAGTTTGTGTGCCTCTAAATCATTCTTACTTTATTCTTAGTTTACCAATTCAATATCAAACACATAAACCACTTTTTATTGATTTGTGTGTCACTCCCTTTTGTCCCATTGTTAGCGGGACGAAGGGAGTACAAATTAATACATTGAACTTTTTTCAAAATTTGACTATATTCTCTTTTAATTGCAATATTGAACTTTTTGCACTATTCACATATTCTACTTTGACTATATTTTATTAATTAATGTATTATAAATTAAATTTTTAAAAAATATTGTTAAATTCTTTTCATTCTAAATTTTCAAAATATGAATTTTTTAAATTTTGTACTAATCAGGAATGAAAAATATTAATGGTCAAACTTGTGCGTTGGTAAACGTGAAATGTTGATCGGTGCAGTTAAAAGGGAACGGAGGAAGTATATAGTTTTGGCTTTGTCTCAACTACTTGTAGAGGTCGTCCTATTGGTGTTGGGGTCCTCAACTCCTAAGGGATGGGGTGTCGTCTTTTTTCTTTAAGAAATGAAAAGGCACAACTGTCAAATAAGCACTTGAACTTACATAAAAAATGCAAATCAGCTCTTTTATAAAAGGCTCTATCCGGGCGTCGCCATTTGGGGTGGTTTTCGGTGGAATTTTTTGATGAAATTTTTTAAGCATCTCATTCATTAAGTCTAGTTTATCCATACCAAATTTTAGCTAAAAATTCAACCGAAAAAGAAGTCAAATGATTTTCTGAAATATACTGCGCTGTCTAATTGCGCAATTATCTTCAAAAAATCATTTGAGTGTCTTCCCAATTGAATTTTTAGCTGAAATTTGGTATGAGTAAACTAGACTTAATTAGTAAGATGCTCAAAAAAAATTCATCAAAATATTCCACCGGGGACCGCACCAAATCGCAACGGCCAGAAATAACCTCCTATAAAAGTGATGATTTGCACTTTTTATGTAAGTTCGGGGACTTATTTTGTAGTTCTCCCTAAATTGAAAATAATGAACACTTTCACGAATGAAGAAGACAAATGGAGCCTCTTTCATGACAATTGAAATTTATGAAGTAGTTGGATTGATAGATAAAAATATAATTAAAATAGGGAGTAGATTTTATTAGTAAAATAAAAAATATATATGAAAAATAGTTAAAATTATCTACCGTAGCTTTACCAATTCAGTCAGAAGAATAATTTAACCCTACTGATTTTTATTAGTATTATACAATTCCATGCGTGAAATAAAACTAATAAATGAAGAATAGAGTTATCAAACAGCTGCAGTTGGCTCTTAGTTTATCTAACTATGTACGTAGTTTTACACATTTTTTCAAGCAACTGAACATTTGACTATATGCCCACCTTTAATTACCAACATGGCAACATTAGAATTATAAATGGTGACTCAATTACAAGAATGGGCAATTCACACTTGTCAATCTATTAATTTTATAACAAACATATAATTGATATTTTTTAAATAAAGATATGTTGAGTAACATTTAGCTTAAATAAAGATACAGGTCAAATGTATGACTTTTATGAGTGCTTATACCGTGCAACCGGTATACGGTGAGCACCGTATACCGGTACGGATTTTTTTTTTTCATTTTGTTTTTAAAAAATGGTAATAACTTTTTTATTTTTGATCCGATTTTTATAAAATTTATATCAACATTTTTTATTTTTCATGATCTTTCAAATGAGACCAATATTGCCTATGTAATTTTAACATATTACCATTTGCGTGTAAAATATGTAACTTTACGTGTTAAAATATGTAACTCACGTTCAGTCAGGCCAAATGCAACTCATGTGTATAAATATGTATCTCTACGTGTAACAATATGTAACTTTACGTAAAAAAATATGTAACTCGCGTTCAGACAGGTCAAATGCAACTCGTGTGTATAAATATGTAACTCGCGTGTGTAAATATGTAACTTTACGTGTAAAAATATGTAACTTTACGTGTAAATATATGTAAGTCGCGTTCAAGCATGTCAAATGCAACTCGTGTTTATATATATGTAACCCGCTTTTAAAAAGATGTAACTTGCTTATAAAAAGATGTAACTTGCTTATAAAAAGATGTAACTTGCTTATAAAAAGATGTAACTCGCTCATAAAAAGATGTAACTCAATGTATTATCAAATGTAACTGAGGCCACTGATCCACTCCCAAACAGATTCGATCTTCTATTTCACAAACCTATCATCTCCCAAACAGATTCGATTTTCCTTATAATCCAATACTCAATAATATAATAGTTCGATAATTTATTAAAATTACATAAGCAATATTGGTCTCATTTGAAAGATCGTGAAAAATAAAAAATGTTGATATAAATTTTATAAAAATCGTATCAAAAATAAAAAAGTTATTATCATTTTTTAACAACAAAAGCAAAAAAAAAAAGTCAAGCTGCGTCGTTTTGCAACCGGGCGCACCATCCTCATGGTGCGCCGGTTGCACCGTATAATCTGCGGACTTTTAGGGTGTTTAAACTTGGACTTATTCCAATCGCAGACCAGACCAGATCAAATCAAACCTCGATAGTTGTAATTACACAAAAACTAAACATATACCAGACAAAACCAAATCAAACAAACAAAATCAGACTAGACCAGATCAAACCAACAAATTTTATTCCAAATAAAAATATTCTTATACAAAGTGACCACACAATAGCATTTATAGCGAATGTATTTATATTCAATTTGACATACTGAGTATGATATACATGGGCTTGACCCCCTGATCTTACGATTATTCAATTTGAACAACAACCCGTATATGTCTGATGACTAACATTTACATTATTGTACACTTTAAAGATTCATTTAGGCCTATTAGATTAGCATTTTGTAACAATTGTTAGGATATGTTTGACACAATTAGCTGAAAAGATAGTTTAATGAGCTTTTGGATGACGATTAGCTTTCAGTGACTGAAAATATATTAAAATGAAAGGTGGTAGTTGTTTAGTAAAAAATTAACTGATCTGGTTATGCTTGGTATACAAGCTGTTGTGACTAATTGATGCTAAAAACTACAGAATTTTCTCAGATGTTAATCTCTATAGTATCTCAAAAAAGATTTTGTATTCTTAGAAAAGTTTTAAAAAATTGTCGTGTAAAACATACAATTACAAACTTTTAAAGTCTTTTTAAATAATACAAAAGTTATAAGGTAAGGATTTATGTCCATCAAACATGCACTTGACTTTTATATATCACCTAATAGTCTTTACGTAATTGCCGCTTATATGCCTGATTTTTGTTCATTGGTTCAGCCATTGTTTTTTATCTATAAATATCCTCTGGGGAGCCATGTAAAGGAAGCCGATTCATTTTACTATGCTCATTTTTTCTCTTTAACCCCCACTTTCCAATATGATAGTGGGGGTATCGACGGTGCTCTAGATCTTGAGAAATTTGCTCCTAATAGGATCAAATCATAGCTCTTTTACAAAAATAATATCTGCTAATGTTTTTTCCATTCATATTACCTATTTAGTTCTAGATTAGGGAATATTTCTAACTTTCCAAATTTGCCCTTCAGGCTTTACTCCCATCATCTGCAAAGAGGTTATCTTCACCGCTGCTCTGCCTCACCATCCCAAGCCGTTATTGCCGTACCGGTCGTTGTTCCGCCTCGCCTCTCCTCCAGATCTCCGCCTCGCCTCGCCTCGCCTTGCCGTCCAGATCTCCACCTCGCCTCGCCGTCATGATCTCCGCCTCGCCTCGCCGTCCAGATCTCTGCCTTGCCTCACCGTCCAAGTCGCGGTTCAACTCCGCCGTTGCAGTCGTACTCGAGCAGATCATACTTGGATTTGAATAGATTATTTTATCAGAATTTATTGTTTATTTATTGTCTACTTATTGTCTATTTAATGTCTGATATTTCCTAAAAATAGGGATATTGTGGTCAATGCAGGTATAGTTGAGTCTTAAGCTAATCTTCGGTCTTAGTTTTGGAAAATCACTACGTTTTGCCCTACTTGTTGAAATCTCCCCTAGATCTTAGTCATTCCTTTCATAGAATAGCAATCATCCTCTTTATCTCAAGACCCATCTTATCTCGTGATTACAAGAGAGGAGGCTTAGTTCTAGAAACGGCCAACTAAGAAACAATGGCCCTAATATTAGTATTGGTGTTTGCATTTCCAAAAGTATGACTCTTTTTATTTTTTCCTTAAATGTGACTTTAATTAATTCAAATGAAGATCACACGTTATTCAAATGTGTGAAGTCCTTGTAAAAAATGCGTGAAGTCTTAATTACAATTAGTTTCTCCCTCATTAACATCCAATTCTTCCCTACCCATTCTCTCAAATCCATCTCACCTTCAATTCTCATGTAGCCATAGTCTACGTTGAAACACCGGCTGCCCAATACATCAACACCCACCGCCGGAATTAGCTATCCATTTCCGGAATCAGCTACCCGCTGCTGCAAGACTTCACCACCGGAACTCACCCCCTCCTTGCTCTCACGATGACAAGCCTCACTCATCCCTCACCTTCGCGCACGACACGGAAATGGAATCTAGATTTTGGAATAGGGACGTCTGACGCCGCCCTATGGCCTTCTTCCGTGGGAATCCCCATTGTTATCCTTTCTTATGTGTTGTCTGCATTTTCTCCTTCATCCTTTTCCTCCATGTGCAACAACAACATGCATTACAATGAACTTTCTTCTGTTTCCCTCATGGAGGATTTGGGTCACTAAGTGTTGCATAGTATGGGTGGTTTTTAGTTACTAAAGGGTGCCCGAAAGAACTCCAACAACGACGAGATCTTTGATTTTTGAAGGAGTTGCCCATTTTTTATTGAGGTGATGTGACTTGAGAAGCTTCATTTTGG